TAGCAGTGAGAGCTTCCTTCTCTGCTTTGATACACTGTATTTACAATATCGTATTGTATAGCCTTGCGGGGACCAGGATATCTCATTGCCCAAGGGCTCTTTCTGAGCTTAATTGGATTCTTCCACGTATTCATGGGAGAGACCAACTTTTTTAGTTACCTCCTTGGTTACTTGCTTGAGTGAACAGGGGCTGTTTTGTAGATGGTCCTGTTCACATCCTGCTTGACCCTGTGTTGAACTCTTTCTGTGCATTATCGTTTCCTGTCCTGTGTTCACAGTAGGTACTCTATGCCCATTTTTTAGACATTAAAATTGAAATTCTCAAACGTAACATAATTTGTCCAATCTTACTCAGTTATAGATTTTGAAGTCTTTTAACTCTTCAGCGCATTCTGTGGTCTTAGGACAAAAGTGTTCCTTAAAAGTTAGGGAATGCGATGGATTGAGTTTGGCCCTGCAAGAAGCCTGCCTTCTTTTTTTCCCTCTTCTGCGGTACAGTATTTGATATTTGGAAATTGATACTGTGGTAATTTTTCCAATTTATGCATTTGTTAGCATTTATTTTGTCTTAGTTTGTAGACTTTAAAAGCTGTGATTTTTGGGAGTTGCTTATCTTCTTTTTAAGCTTCACTTATCTCATGCGATATGAGAGTAATATTAGTACCTATCTCATAGATTTTTTTAAAGCTGAATAAAAGATGCAGTGATTATAAAGTGAGTAGCACAGCTGGTGGTGTGTGCTAATCCCTGTAAGTTCTAGTAGCTACTCATGTTTTTATTATCATGATTTACTAGTGTTTTTTATTATTATAAATTATTGGATTCTCTTTATATTTACTTCTGTACTAGATTCATAAACCTGAAGGGATGAAGTAGTGGGCTAAAGAGGAAAATAGTAAGCACTGCTCTTAGGATTTGTCTAAATTTTCCTTTTTGAAATTGTCTTATATCACTGCACCTCCCAACCATATTGATTAACTTAACTTTTTCTGAAGATACTGTGTGTTTACTTCTTGGCTTTTTCTTGCTGTGACTCTTAACTTCTTGTCTGTAACAGCATCCCTACTTGTTATTCAAACCCCTGTTTAGATAGTTCCCATTTAGAAAGTTTTCTCAGATCTTTCTTTCTTTCTTTTTTTTTTTTTTTTTTTTTTTTTTTTTTTTTTTTTTTTGTATTTTTTGGTTTTTTGAGACAGGGTCTCACTATGTAGTTGAGACTGACCTGGAACTCACTATGTAGCCAAGGGTGGTCTGGAACTCACAGCGATCTTTCTGCCTCAGCCTCTGGCGTGCTGGGATTACAGGTGTGTACCACCACACCCAGCAAGATTTTTCTAAAATGAAAAGAAATTAATTTCTCCTTTGGCTTGCTGTGTTTGACTTGTATAATGGCTTTGTACATGGGTATCTGTGTCTTTTACTAGCTTGTGTATCTTGGAGAGGTAGGGACAGTTCTTGTTTCTCTTTTTAGTTTTAGCATTGGGTCTAAGAGTATTTTGACCGTGTTTGTTAATTTGACTTTTTTTTTCTGTGCCAAGGCTTGAATTTAGGTCCTTTGTATTGAGCTACATTCCTAGCCTTTTTGGTTTTATATTTTCAGATAGTCTCACTAAGTTAGTTGATGAATTGCTCAGAGTGGACCCCAACTTGTGATCCTCCTGCCCCAGCTTTCCAGAGTGCTAGGAATATAGACTTGTACCACAACACTCTAATTTGTATTGTTTTCATTTGACTTAATATTAGGAAACTCTGGGCAAATATCTTGAGCAATTTGACCTCAATCTTTGCAACCATATAAAATAAGAATGTTGGTTTTGGGGCTGGGGATTTAGCTCAGTGGTGCTGCTGCCTGCCTAACAAGTGCAAGGATCCCCGGTATTAAAAAAAAGAGAATGTTGGTTTTGCTAGATAATCTCTAAAGATTTTTGCAGTTTTGAAGTTATATAATTTCATGAATTCTCATTATAAACTTTATAATTAGGGAAATAACCATATGAAAACTTAAGTAGAAGCTGGGCATGAATGCTAATGGCTGTAAGTCTAGCACTTGAGAGGCTGAGGCAGGAGGATTGCCTCAAGTTCAGAGCCATGATGGGCTACCCAGTGAAATCAAGGATAGACTAACTGCATAGTGAGGCCCTATTTCAAAGAACGAAAGGAAATGGAAAATTAGGTGGAAGGAGATAAATACTTTTTTAACCATGTAAAGTCTTACAAATAATTTTATTTCATGATTGGAGATTTAATGGCATACAGATGCTAGATAAGGAATAGAAATGAACTATAAAAGAGAATTTAGGGCTTGTGGCAGTCTGTACAATGCATCTTTATCTGAAAGCGTTGTGCTGAATTAAGACAAAGTTGCTGAAGCCCAAATAAAACTTTCTACAGGTAATATCTGGTAGCAGACTCAAGGTGTGATCACAGAATACAATGGATGTTTAAATTAAAAACACTATTAAAGTAAAAGATACATTGCTATTAATACCCCTCAAACTACTCCCTCTTTCTTTGAATACTCTTATCCCATCCTGGCCACTTTGTAAAGCAGTTCAGGAAGTCCTCTTTCAGGTCTTCATTTGTACTGTCATAACAGCCTTGGTGTTCTGAATTGATTCAAAATGTTTACCTTTCATGGTCACTTTGACTTTTGGGAAGAGCCAGAAGTTGCATGGTACCAGACCTGGTGAATAAGGTGGGTGAGGACTCATTGTAATGTATTTACAAGCTTGCTTTTCTGTTTGATGGCGCTTGGGAGCAACATTCACTTTATTTTTGATCACACTTGTAAAAACACAATGGAGGATTTTCACAGTTGTGAAACACCTTTCAGCCCAGCACTCTAGAGGCTGAGGCAGGAGGATCACCATGAGTTTGAGGTCAGCCTGGGCAACATAGTGAGTTTAAGGCCAGCCTGAACTACATAGTGAGACCCTGTCTCAAAAACCAAACCAAAAACGAATCAGATTCTATGGTGGATGTAGTCATTAGCCTCTTAGATGACGTTACATGTTTTATCTGTCATCCTTTAGAGGAAAAAAGAAACTGAAACAACTTAGTTACTTTTCTGTGTAGTCAAATCACTCCTAAAAGACTTTCCTAAAGTAAAGGGTAGAAATTATTTCTGATTTTCATTTAACTATACTTTTACTTTTCTTTGC